TTATGTGTATTGAAGGAAATTAAAAGTCAATTATTTACAAACTTTTCGTTTGTTAAAATTGGTTATTTCTGTCTTAATGAAATTGAAACAATCCCCTCAGCTCAATATAAGGCAGTTATTTTACAGAATAAGACGATAATAAAATATTACAGACAAACAGTTCAATTTTATTACCACGTTTTTATTAAGTCACTTTCTTGTCTGTCTGTCGTCTTCCCGATGAGCGGGAAACTTGAAATTTTGAATATAGACACAAAATCGGATAATAATACAAAAATGTAATAAAAAATCGTGGCAATTTTTAAAGACTAAGTATAGCCATTCAGCGAGGAAATGCAGCCAGCGTTCTTGGCACGATGCCACGGGGAGTAGGACTGTATGATAACTAAGTTATTAGTTTTTGTTTTTCTTTTATTATAGTTTTATAATATTGTATATAATACGGTACTTATAACTAAAATACAATTTTTAAAAGTTTGTCTGTCTGTCTGTCTGTCTATTTGTTCCGGCTAATCTCCGAAACGGCTGGACTGATTTTGACGGGACTTTCACTGGCGGATAGCTGATTTCACAAGGAGTAACTTAGGCTACTTTTATTTTAGAAAAATAATTAGGGTTCCGCGCAAAAACATAAAAACCCTAACACGCAAGCGAAGTTAATAAATAATAAATAAAATTTTTGTCTGTCTGTCTGTCTCTACGGGATGATCTTCGCAACGATTATGATGAAATTTTACGAGAGTATTGAGAGCAATACCAGGAGTGATCTAAAATATTTTTATGCGAAATTCTTGTAGTTTTTTTTTCTTGTGAAATGAAAAATTTGTAATCATAAAATTATTACCCAGTACGTAATAATTCTATGTTTGTAATATAAAATGATCATTGACCACATTAATAGGCCACACAGAGACAAAGCCAGGGAGTGTCGCTAGTATTATAATAAACCGTTAGGTAATTTTTGTTATTATCATCATAGTTATTAATTATTATCTCTTATTATAACATGTACCTTTTCAATGTTTTATTTAATTTCCCTTATGCGATTTCACATTCCAAACATGCTACTATTACCATTGTCCTTTATCGCCTACTTTAGCTTAATGATTGTCTTTTTCTAATTTATATAACAGACATGCAAATGAATCACAGCTTATACTTCAATCAATCATCTTCTTCCTCAGCTTTTCGAAATAAACTGTTGGACATGGGCGTGGTTATTGATACGTGGTAGAGCCATGTTGCAGCTGTATTATGGTTGTAGCACAAGTGGGTCTGCTCGACCGGGCAGGACGATGCTCTTATAGAATACCAGCGTAAATAATTAAAAATTAAAAATTTTGTACAACCGACTTCAATATAAATTATTACGAATAACTCAAAAACTATTAGTCAGATCTTGATCAAATTAAGTCAATTTATATGGGACTACATGTGAAGCATCAGCTTTCAAATAAAAAAGGTCATCATCGGAATCGGTTCACCCAGTAAAAAGTTATGAGGTAACACACATAAAAAACATACAGTCGAATTGCATACCGGCTCCTTTTTGAAGTCGGTAGAAAAGCAGATTAATGCCGCTTTGTTTCGTATGGTAAATGTAGAGACCCGATACCCATTTTATTGAACACGAGGCATTCCATTTTCTATGTAATTTTTAGATGTCTATGAGCCACAAGATCAACTTACCATAAGGTGGACAGTGTGCTCGTGTGTCACTCTTATTCTATTCATATCGTACGAGTAGAGACGCCTCGCACCTTTGACGCTGCCGCCCGTCGCCGTTTATAGCCTGCCGTATACTCTCGAAGCCATCACTTTTTCCTGTAATTTTCTATAGTCTCCTCTAACGACACTGGCGGGACGAATATGTGTTGGAGTGGGGTTTTAGATTTTCTTCCGCCACCACATGGCCAATCATCACTAAACTAAAATCGGCATTAATTGTTATGGATAAATTCTATCTGCTTAAATTTATCTTCTATATATATATAAGAGATTTCGACCTATGTACGGATTCATCACTATATTTCTGGAATCATAAGGCCAACTATAAGGTAAAACACATCATTTTATTTTAATGAGCGAATATGGGCAAAGTAAATTTTTCCAACTTTAATAAGATCACTCTTATCAAATCTATATAAAAATTTACTTCGCCCATATAAGCACACAATCTACCTGATAATAAGAGAAGGTTGTGGCCCATTTATACTTACATCTTTTATCGATTAAGAATCAAAATGTTGACGCGATGTCATCCCTGAGGACAAGCAGCTCATCTTAGTCGTCAGGGGTGAAAATGCATCTACAATTTGATGCTTAATCGGTGTTAAAAGTAGGTGTCCATGGGCCATAATAACCACTTATTATCAAGTGAAATGTGTACTTCTTTCTTACTTCAATAAAAAATAAATGAAATTCCTGGGTACTAGGAAAAAGGACTCGGTCCAGTCACTCTAGGAATTTCACCCTAGGAGTGTTTAGCGTCATTATGTTGCTATTTTACGCTGGTAGTCTGTGAGAGCTGCACCGTGATTCTATCCCGTAAAAATCTATTCGGTGCCTTTGACTTTACGACTTTTCTACTGGAGCTTTCATTTCTAGCGGGTTGCGCTAATTTAACTTACAAATCCTCCGACACTGAACTTATGTTAATCACTGTGTTGATAAACACTGTAGGCAATATAAGTCACCTAGGTATGAGTAGGTATCTTAGTATCAATAATTTATTTCGTTACTTAATTGTAAATCCTGATTAACGTGATTGTTTAGTCTTAGCGCAGATGCCTTCAGTGCAAGCACGCAACAAGCTGCCCCTCCCAAGCTCGGGGTAACCATTTCTTTTGAAGGAACATGGACTTCATTGCATTAAGCAAATAATAACATTTGGAGCAAACCTCAGATTTTTTTTAAATTTATATATCAGATCAAAATGACAATATGGATATAGTTCTAATTAACATCTAAAAACCATGGAGGTTTGACTTGATGCTAAATAATTAAGCTTAAGTCAGCATATTATGTACAAAACACAGTCTAAATAAGTAGTTAGGAAAGTGAGTAGGTAGTAGGTATAGTAAGAATATAAAGACTAAGAAGGTAAGTTAATAAATTAGTTAAAGTCAGTAGTAGCAAGGTAAAAGTAAGAACTAGGGAGGTAGGTACGTATAATTTAGATAGGAGAAAGCTTTTGAGTTTAGTTTTAATGTTTTATTGTGATGTTTTTTCGCGTACATCGAAAGGTAATATTTTTAATATTTTTTATTATTTTAATATTTTTTGATAGAATAATACTGGTATCGCTATTAAAATTACTACTACTCTCGGTAACCACTCTAAGTAAGCTTAAAATGCTTGTGGTAGACCACATTAGTCGAATGACAGATTCGACCCCATGACTGGCACCCTACCATTAGGCTACTGTCACTTCAATTACATATATATTTTTTTATAGGATCGGGTGACAAACGAGCACACAGTCCACCTGATGGTAAGTGGTTACTGTGACCCATAGACATCTACATCTATCCTCAATAAAGACTCAAGATGCAGATGTGTTGTCACCCGTGAGGACTAAGATGGAATGCCTCTTTGCCAGTAAAAAGGGTCTCCGGTTCTCTACACACACCATACGAAACACAGCTGCGTTAAGCTGCTATTTTACGCTGGTTTTCTGTGAGAGCGCGGTCCTTCCCCGGTCGAGCCGACCCATTCGTGCTACAACCATAATATAGCTGCAGCATGGCTCTACCACTTAGAAGCATGACTCTACCACGTAAATATTAATATTAAAAGTGAAATAACAAGTTCAGTGACCCTCAGTAAACGGAGCTCTCCTAAGTACGTAGAGTTTCTGACCACCAATCATGTTAGATGAAGTGATTGCGGCATGAGACGATTCACTCCTATTACGTCCCCATTTCCACATAGGTATTTAAGGTATAACAAAACCGTAATGACTTAAAAAACGTATCCAACGGATATGTAAGGTTTTCAGTTGTTCCAACTTTAGGGCCGGTCCATTGTCTCATTGCTTACTGATCCGTTTGGCTAAGTCAGTTATGCATCGTTACGGACTCTATCACGTTGAGGAACTCCAAGCGTATCCCTCTTCATAGCTAGCTGTAAGGGCCCCCGACACCACCATTTTTTCTTATTCGTTGATATAATTTTAAATTATCATAAGCTGTATTTTTTATCCAAATATATTAATTTTCAACGGTTAAATTTTAATCTATATTTCATTACCCACTTTTACATGAATTTTTAACTTTTGCTACTTTTATATTATTTTTTTATAGGAGACGGGGCAAACGATAGGGGGCAAACGAGCATGCGGCTCACCTGATGGATGGTAAGTGATCAACTGCATAATGAAGAACTGCAACACCAGGGGAATTGCAGATGCGTTGCCGGCATTTTAAAAAGGAGTAGGCTCTTTTCTTGTAGTAAGTACAAACCATTAACTATTGACAAGTGTACACATATCCTCCCTATGATGCAATATATGGGGGAGGACTCTGTTGCATAGTATGTGACTCTAATGGGCTGTAACTATAACGATAAGTGTACACGCAAACACAAGGGCACTGACTCGTTCTAACCTACCTGTGTCCGATGTAATGCATACGTGATAAGATCGTAGAAAGGCTACATGCAATACATATGAGACACACGGAGAATATTATAAATCAACCAGACCCCGAGAACTAACAACTTGTATTCTTGCACAAATGCTAAGAACCGCTTTGTAGTTAACTGTGTAATATGAAATAATTATTCGTACATACACAATAACATACTAAAATATGGAAGAGGAATGCACACGCGATTAACAGGCCATTAAAAACCAAAACAAGACTGGTTACGATAAATGCGTGAGAAACGGGACTGTCCGGTCAGATGACGCACACCTGGCGATCCTCAGTCCCCGGCACATTACAACTCGCCTACGGACAGTGGACTCAGTGGAGGCATATCGTCCGCAGCCAGCCAGAATGCAGCACGTTTTCACGCTCTTCGTTTTAGCTTGTGAGTACATACTTTCATACATTGTTTAGTTACAAGTTACAACGTAAACATTAACCGGTGCGTTTAGGTGCGCTGGTGGAGCGTACGATGCGACCTATATATTTCGTAAACGTATTGTTGATTTATCTTAGCATTAAAACAATTCTGGCGAAAGTTTCTCATGGTCATGGCTTTAAACTATTTTAATGTAGAAAATATCCATAGTTTTTTTAGTATATTACATAAACACATATTTTTTCTTGTAAATATTAGATAAATGTAAAAAAAACTAATTTATATCCACAATATTTTTTACAAAATAAAAGTTATTTTGGCAAAAGTTGTTCATTTATACTTAGTACCTAACTATGCCACAGAAGTAAGATCATCATATTGAGACTTTACTGTATGTTTTTCCTGACCACTACAACTCGAGACTTTTTAGGACAAGAAAAAAAAGCGTTTTCTAATCTAAAGTGCTTACAAGTGAAACAAACTTTTTATTAATTGATTTTATAACATTAACATAACATACTTATACACGTTAAATTGTATTAACATACAGGTTTTTCAATTATATTCACAGAAATAATTAAAAGTTTTTATGTTTTTAGCATAGACTTAGGATATACAGTCTATGGTTTTTAGTATCTAAATTAATAATTATTTTTTTATTTATTTTTAAAAAGTAATTTTACGTGCTTAATAAACCATATTTCACTAATTTATTAATTAGCAAGGGCGAAATAATGAAAATTTATAGGTACGTCAGGATTGAACAGCAGTTGCGTAATAAAGTTAATGAACCAATAACAATTTGTGCACCTGTGCACACTAATGTTTTGTGAGGTTTCAATACCATGAATTGTGAATAATGTTGTAACACATAGTCTGTTATTTGGATATTTGTCTAACGTACACCTTTCATCTTAAAATATTATATCAAAATAATATTATGTACAAACGCAAAATAGACAAGCTACCCTTTTCAAAATGTCCTTAGAAACAAAAATAATAATATGATAAGATAAAATTTCAATCAAAAAAAATTCGATAATCAATATATATACATATATATATATATATATATATATATATATATATATATATATATATATATTTATAATTATTATTATTTAATAAAAAACATTATATTATTATTATTATTTTAATAATGATTGAATCATATATGTATCATCATCAACATCATTACATCCCTCAAAAGTCCACTGCTGAACATAGGCATCCCCCAAGAAATGCCAAAAAGCTATATAATATATGGTATATACATATACAGGGTTATTTTTCAAAGAGTAGTCAAATTTTAAACTTAAGTTCAAATACATAAACAATAATATACCGTTTAAGCAGTTTTTGAAAATACAAGTAAATAAGGCTTCTACTTATATTTGAAATTATCCCAAATGTGATTTATGGGCAACAACTACGCGTACACGCGCTGCTCTGTGTGCGATTCAATTCACAACGTATTTGCCGAGCGAGCGACCCTTACAAATGTGTGCGTGTGTAGTAAGATAGTAGGCGTTAAATATTTATGAATGACAATCAGTTAAAGTAATGCATTACTACGCACTTTGAATTTAAAAGAGAAAGAAGACAGAATGTTTCAGATTTTTTTATAGTTAATGTTTCTTCACCATTTGTCTGTATTACTTATTCTGAACCTACTCAAAATACATATAGTCGCTTAACGAGCTATGGAGAGGACTAAGCTGGGGGTTTCCCTGCGTGATACACTTTGTAATCTGGATATTCTCAGTAGGAACGGAGTAACCAACATAGTACAACGGATCAGTATACTAAAGTGACAATGAGTCAGCCATATAGCTCGAAGATCCGACAATCGGTGGGGAAGGATGGTTCTTGAGTGGCAGCCTCGTACTCCTAATGACATGGTAACCCGGTACATGCAGAATCGCCATGTCTATAAATGCAGGTAATCAGGACCGTGTTTTGTGGCATTCTTTGGGGAGGCCTATGTTCAGCTGTGAATGATGCAGCAGCTGTAATAATGATGATAATTGTCTGTACAATATTAACAGCTCAGTAGCGCAGCAAAACCATTTGGCTGCGGCGCTGCCGAGCATAACGTACATGTATTTTTGTGATCCACAAATAACTGTTTCGGTTGTGGATATATCACTATCATAAAATCATCACATATCATCTTTTGAAATTACTTTTTATACAATTAATGTCGAGAAACGAGCACAATTAAAAAATGCTGTGAGGCATACATATCTATAATAGGCTCAGAATTAAAATTTCGATACGTTTTCATCCCTGAGCTCTAAGATGTTGTGCCACGTTACCAATTAAAAGGTTTTTGTAACACAACATACGTAATACTAAGTTCATCAATAAGTTTTCGGAATAGGACAATTATCAGTGAGTTATAGTTAAACTTCACATTTGACTCTAGATTATTAATATATACATTTGATGGGAATTTGATTCGTATCAAAATTGAGAAACTGGAACTTCTTGCGGTTACTAAATATTTTTGCCTGAATTTTTTTTCTACAAAAAGTATTCTTGAAGTAATGCAGTCTACTTTGGCAGACAATGCTCCGTCTTATTCTACAGTTGCATACGGCCAACAACGACCGCTACCCATTGAGTTATATGTACTACGTACTAGAGAAGCCATTCCAAACAAAAATTGTGCGCTACTCTGTTTCCCGCATGCGCAGGAAATAGTAGAGTCGCGTATGCGCGAAGACTTTAGTTTAATATAAAATATGATATTAATATAAGAATTAATTATAAAATACTCTTATTTTAATCTAAACAAACATATTTCTAAATAAAATGTAATCTTCAATTGACGCAACATTTAGTTTAGTGAACGGATTGCAGTACAGTTTAGTTGAACATAGTCAATGTTCGGAATGCGACATCTAGTGCGTATAGTACAATATATCGATCTACCCAAGAAAACGTTTAAAGATCGAAGAAATTGTTAAGGTACATCGAAGTGTGTCCATACTTTATTTAGCTGAGATTCTAAAGCTTTCGTTTGGGACAATTCGGTTTATTTTAACTCATATCTTAAAATTCAAAAAGATGACCGCGCGCTAGGTTCTTCGAATGTTAACAGACGCCCAAAAGAAAGCAAGAATTGACATTCCAAGGCTAAATTTAGCGATAATTGTAGAAGGTCCAGATTCTCTTTGCGCTCGTTTCGTAACCGTAGATGAAACGTGGGTACACGATTTTGCCCTAGAGATGAAAAACCAAAGCAAGATGTGGAAAAGACCATCTTCCCCGCCAGCCAAGAGATTCAAGGTGTCTGCGTCCGCTGGAAAATAATGATCTCTATCAACTGGGATATAGAAAGTATAATAATCATGGACTATTTAAGTAAATGAAAGACAATAACCGAAGATTATTAAGAATCATTAACCAAAAAACTAAGTGAAGAACTAAAGAATAAACGTCGAGGAAAATCGCGTGCTGGAGTGATTTTTCATCATGATAATGCCCGTGCTCATCAATTTGATGTTGGAGGCGCTGCCATCCAAACTGCTGGGTTTCAGTTGATGCTGTTACCACCATATTCTCCGGACCTAGCTCCGAGTGATTTTCACCTTTTTACTCACCTGAAAAAGCACTTGCGTGTTATAAAATTCGATGGCGACGATGAAGTGATGTGTGCTGCAAAATCATATTTCGAGTTCCAGGATCAAACTTTTCTTCCAAGGGAATTAACCAACTTTGGGCTACAGAGAGAAACTGAAACAGAAGATGAGCAACAGCATCTTCCTAATAACAACTCAAAATAATATAAAACTGCATTTAGCAACCTGCGTGTCAAGTATGGCAAATATTCCCTCTATGGGGTATTCTATGGGTGAGGATGCTGATGATGGTAATGTGAAGGTTCATGATGACTTTGGTTATTCTGTGATCTTAATTTTTACACGTTCGATAAAGTTAATCTGGGGGCACGGCAGTGCCTCCGCCAAGTCGAGCAAAAAACGGCACGGCTGTACCATCCTTTTCTCGAAGCAGTTCAGGCCATTTTCGACCCCCTATAACTTCGTTGTGAATAAAACTAGAAGCCTGAATTTTTAGTAAACAGTCTTATCACTAAACAATCTAATTTAATATAATATGTATTACTTGTGAGATACATTGTGTTTTCATGCCATGGCCAAGTCAATCTATGTATTTAAAACATAAAAGATTTTTAATATTGATATGGTCATTATAAGATGTTGTTAGGTTAGCTAATTACATAATAACTTGAGACAGAAGGACCCTTAAGTAGGGACTGATTAAATTAACCGACTTGGTATTACATGCATCTCACACTTTTTTACGATAGAAGAACTGAGTTGCGAGACTTGGTTTATTTTAAAAGTTATGTTTATGATGGCATCTCATTTTCCGTCGCAATATCCGGGCTATCTAAAATCATTTTACTAGTAACGATTCTGGAAAAAGATATTCTGATAATGTAGTTCCTCTCGCTCTCCATGAAGTCAGTTAGCTTATTACAGCATTGGGTTCCGTTTCTCAATTTCATAGTCACACACACACACACACACACACATACACACACACACACACACACACACACACACACACACACACACACACACAGGTCAGTAATGGGTTTAAGAATGTTGTCGAGATAAAATCATACATTTCCAAACATTAACCTCCTCAAGGATTGCTTCACACTAGGCTGGATCAGACTCCGTCTAATGCATTAAACGCTCTAGACCACTTGTGTCCTAATCAAAGTCTTCATATTTCACAGCCCAAATTAAACAGTCGTATCCAGGGTTTACTGTGCAGTAGCGGTGTAAGAATATTCATTACCCCAAATCCTCCCGTGGATGTACGACTCCCATGGAGCGATGTGGGGTATAGGCGACAGCGAAAAGCAATCCAGGAGTTAGGCAGCAGCGTCCTCCCGTACTGTACACAATTGAACCCTCCTGTACTGTATACAGTTGAACACTATGCGATCCCACTCTTGCTCTCGCGGA